GGATATAATTTTATCCGCTGGGTATGTCTTATTTTAAATAAAAGTATAAAAGTATATAATAAACGTATATACATATATATATATACAATATATACATGATGGAACAATAACTCTGTTCACTTTGAATATTTCCCCTATTTTTAGAGATATGTAATATTATATTTACTGAATTGTACAACATTATGGGGATATAATATACTATTAATAGTTTTTCTATGGATGGAGGCGCTTCGGAGATTTCAAGGTCACTTTCACTTTTTTAAATGAAATTGAATGATTGTTTTATAATACAAAATATAATTTCTCTAATTATTTTACATATAAAAGTATTAAAGTAGTGTATCAAAAAATCAATAGTTTACGAGATATTTTGTACACAACATAATAATGAGATGAATTAATTGGTGGATGAAGAACACATAGTTGCTTTAAAATAAATATGTATGTATAAAGGATAATTTTTTAAATAAGCAGCTATGTGATTCCCCAGTGAGAAATGACAATAGAATCGATATCGAATGGATGTTGATTCGACATCGAAATCATCAAATTGACGTCTATTCGACATCGATTTCAAAGGCATTTCTTACTGAGTTCTTTCCATCAATTCATTCATCTCATTATTCTGTTCATAAAAGTATTAAGGATTACAAAAAACTAATAATTTACGAGTATTTAATATTTTATGTCAATATATGCCAGAATAAAGTACAAAATATCTCGTAAACTATTGACTTTTTGATATCACTACCTTAATACTTTTATATGCAGCATAATTAAAGGAATCATATATATTATGTAAAAAAAAGCAAACCATTCCATTTAAAAAAGTCGAGGTGATCTTGAAATCTCCGAGCGCCTCCACTCATAGAATAACTATTACTTATATATTGTACCCCTCTTGATACTTTATACAAATTCAATAAATATATCATGTCATATCTCTAAAATAGCGGAAATATTCTAAGTGGAGAGAGTTACTGCCCTACTCTGTACATATATAA